AGCAATGAGATAATCCTTTTCATGCCTCTGATGACAATCAAAATAGTTCTTTCTGAGTCATAATCCCAATTAAACTGTTCATGTACTTGCTTTGGAGTAATGGTCTGCACAGGGCCCAAATCACGCTTCATACCTTTTCATAGGGGAAGAAAAGGGCATTGATGATGCACAAATAACTGAGAACTCCTGCCAGCTATGCTCTATGCTTACTGAGCAAACACATCACAGGAAGCAACTGGGAAATAATGAACAGATGCACGAGCTGGAAAGCAAAACTGAACATCTGTATCCTCACCAATCAAACTGCAGAAAAAACCTGGGAGAGGATCACAAATATTTACCACATAGCTAATGAAGTGCAGGAGATTCTGGCAGAATCTCTTAAGAGAAATGAAACCATTTCTAAAATAAGGCTATTATCAGCCTCAAATGTGATGTTATGTTTAAACCATAAAATGCATCAGCTAGGAAGATAGAAGCAGGTCCGTGAGTTGGCAAACATGGCTTTCTTTTTGTTTAAGAGCCTGGGTAGTCTTGAAGGAGAGCGGAATTGAGTCAACAGAGTTGTAGGAGACTGGATGGGCTCTTGCAGCAAGCAGAAAATAGAGATTTTTGCACCAGTTTTGAAAGGCATTTTTAACTACCCTTAGTAGGAGATGTGTGGGCTGCCCACAAGCTTCAGGCAGAGGCAGTGGTGCACTCCAGGGCACAGGATGAGGCTGTGCAGGGTCAGGCAGGGAGGCTTGGAGATGGTGGCTGTGCTCAGATACTGTGATCTCTCTGATCCACCTCCAGCCCTGAGCCCTGAGCACTGAGTGCTGAGCAGGCAGCAAGGCAGAACTCCCAAGGCCTCTCTGGACAAGAGATTTGGAAGAGGATGAATGCAGCAGTACACAGATATATAATAGAAAATATTTTCAGTAAGGCTAATGAAAAGCTTATTTTTCCTAACTTGTCTCTGCAAATCATAAGCTTTTTGTTACCTGACTGACCAGCCCTTAGGACAGAAGCACCTATATCTACATTGCATATGTCTTAACACATTTGTAAGAGAAATAAAAACAATAAATCAATAGGACTCTCCACTGACTTCAGAGATCACTGGTACTAATTGGGGATCTCTGCTGCTTAGATGTTCATGGCTACTGCCATTGAAATGAATTGGCTGCAACATCGACATAAAATCATGCACATCACTGCATCTCCAATTGCTTGATAGCTTTATAGAGAAGTCCCTTGGGAAAGAAATTAGTAAAGAGTTCTAAACTCTTCTACTGCTCTTTGATGCCCTCAGACAACTCATGTCAGAGATGGAAGTAAATGCAGGAAGAAGACAGTAAAAAATTTTCAAGAGGAATTCACAATCATCAAATGCAGAAACTGACTGAAAATCTTTCTATATCTCAGCTTTTGTGCTTAACTAACATGTGTGTTAAGTCAGTACAATGAAAATCAGAGTGCTTGCTCCAAATGCTCATACAGACTTGGAGGAACTTGTGAATTCAGGGAGAGGACTGTGGAGGGAGTCATGGAGGAAGGATTTGACTACTGAGCAGGAAGAAAGAGAAAGTGAAGGACTGAATAAAATACAGAATAGGAAAATCAGATAACCATGACAAATACAAACGAGCTCCGAAAGACTTTCTGCATAGAGACTCTAAGAACTGCAACAAACTTTAATATGTTTTGGGAACAAGATAATGAGACGAGTGAGTCAGTGCTGCAGAGGCTGGCATGCTTCTGATATGCATAAAAATCCCTTCTCACCACAAAGCAGCCCAAGCCCCTGTCCCTTTGAATCTCCTAATCTAAGCCATCCTAGGAAGAGCTGGGTGGGCAAACCCTGCTCCTTTCTGAAGTGTTACCTGTGACTCAGCAAGTGGGCTGGTACTGAATTAATAGTATGGCATTCATTTTTGTGTGAATCTTTTGCTGAGGCTTTTCTGGGTGAGTGGTGATGGGCTGAAGTTGGTGGCTCACAGCTCAGCTTCTTAGTGAGGATCTCTGCTTGGATTGAAACTTAAAAGCAATCAGTGTGATGACAAGAAACATGACAGCACTGAAGCAAGATGCCACAGGTACTTATTTTTCCATGGCTCAGGGGATATTTGAGATGTAAACCGTCTGTGGTTTGAGGCTGTTTTCACCAAAAGGGCATCTAAAAGCTAAAAGAGATAAAAAATGAATACTCATCATTATGGACTGGATTTCTGCCAGCTGCTATGTAATTAGAGTTTTAATTGCCCAGTAATAAAAGTTCTAATTACTCAGCAATTAGTGCTTAAACTTTCAAGTACTTCACACGCACTCAGTTGCATCCTTGAATTGTCAAGAGCAAAAAATGGAGTCGCTCCAATGTGACTCAGCACAGCTCTAAGCAACATCAGGGATGGAGCAGCTATGCCTGAAATCCATCCTAACTTCTGTATCTATCTACAGTATGTTTATTGCAATTCAACTAAATATTTTACCTACCCCCTAGCTAATTTAAGGCCAAAATACCCTTTGTTGTGTCAATTGTTTCATACCTAGTTGTATGAATTGTTTCATACCTAGAATTATCATGATTCATTTTCTATATGCTGGATAGTAAAGGTTCTGAGGCTCTGATTTCTGTCTTCTTGCTTTACTAGAATTTAAATATCATTAACAAGCCAAACCATAACAAAGTCAGCACTTGCCAATGGTCCAGGAAGAAGGGCTGCATTTAGGGTACAGAGCCTAGAAGAAACTGCATATTTATCATCTGCTTGGGTAACCCCAAAGAGGCAAATTGTCTGATGAACCATGTAGTCAGAGAGTTGGGACAACCTTTCCATAAAATAATAACAGTTGCTCCAGCTTTTTTTTTTTTTTTTTTTTTTTTTTTGTAATGCCCAGAAGAGAGAGCTTTAAATGATATTCAGATTATTTACAGGCAGCATGCAAAATCCATCACAAGAACTTCAGCAAAACCAGACAAAATTGATTTAGTCAAAATGTTTCATGGGAAAAAAATCTGGTAGAGGAAGGGTGGGTTGAAACTTTCCAGAATTTCAAAGTAAGCTGCATGTTCTATTACATGTTGCTCATAACTCTAAAAAAATCAAAAAATCTTAAAATTGACAGGGGAATCATAATGACTTTCAAAATGTAGGGAATTTGTTTCCTTTTTTTCTTAGACTTGTTTCCAAATTTATCTCTGGTAAAGAGAGTTAAGGTTGAGAAGTGAAGTTTATGAGAAACACACCAACAGTCACATAAACACAGGTTAAAAAATTTGTTCCTATTCTTGAATATGAGAAAAATCCAACTAATTCAAATTATGATTACCCAAACATCAAGATCTAAACAAGAATATAGAAATAAAACACTAAATAGAATTTTTTCCTTCTGCTCTGAAAGTAATTTAGACTTTTTATGGTTAGTAACTGGTTAGTAACTCCAAGCATTTAGGTCTTCTCTAAAGCAGCATCAGATGTTTTCTATAACCTGGACTGTCCAGGTCATTGATTCCCAAATGCTCTACTTCACTGGGGTGCTGAATTCAGGGACTGCACATACGTTTTCTGTCTTATTTCCCTGAGGCACCATCTGTAGTGCACTTCACAGTGGTGAACAGATATCTGGTGGTAGCACACTAAGCTGGGACTCACCTCACTGGATGTAGCTTTCTTGTCTAAGCTGGTAACAGGCTCAATGAAGTAACACAGACGTCTGGGTGAGTCACTCCTTCCAAGTGTAAATGCCCAGGACAGATGAGCTGATTACTCTCTGGTGGATCTGTCTTTAATAAATAAGGAGAGATCAACTTTTAGACAACAAAAATTGAAACCAGGAGAAATGTAGAGTCTCAAAAGCATAACAGTACAAGAATGGACTGAAAAAAGTAGGCTTTGTTCAGTGTCAGTACTGATTTCCCCTTTCAGATCCAGGAAAAGGACATGTATTTCAGACTATGTTGCTGCTGCAGTTATTATTCCTTTCACCTCTGAGGCTGCAACTCAGAGTTGCAGGCTTGGATAACAAAGCACCCTGCCTTAGGCACCCTGTGTACCCAGGACAAACAGCTAACCTCCATCCCTGTTAGATCAGGGTCAAAGCAGTCCCTGCAACACATTTAATTTACAGGGAAATGCCATACTGTACAGTAAGACTTTGCAAGAGGCAGGTTTTTACTTGACTGTACTATTGAAAAGTGCTGTTCCTTGTCAGTGTTTGGCAGTGATGCCTTGGGTTTTAGCTTTTATATTTTTCAGATTCTCTGCTGCTTGGTGTGTAACTCTGAAACTTCATATCGGGTGTTAGTAAGTTCTCTTCACGGGGTAGTTAGACAAAACAAAATTGCCTTTCTAGCTAGACAATCAGGGGCAACCAGAACTCATAAAGCATAAACAATGGCTAAGGGAAGGGGGTAAGACAGGGGGCTGAGACTTCATAGCCTGCGGCTGTGGTTTATGGCTGTTAGCTAAAAGATTAGCTGTTGGAACGGTGGAAGAAAACTCAGTGACACAGTCCCTTTTCAAGATAGAGAAAAGACACTTTATTGTAAAACTACATTTCCTTATATACACTAGATCGCTAAACCAAGAATAGAATTACAGCTCATTGGTCAGAGCAGGCAATACCTTTTGCACAGATGTTTTCACTACAAACAACATGGTTCACATTCTGTAAACAGTAGCAGGTGCCTATTGTTTAAGATTCTTTCCTTTCTGTTTTCCTCCAAGTTCCTGGGAAAGCCTCTGCTTTCCCAGACTGCGTGTCCACAGTGGTTGGATAATTAACCCCAATATGTAAATGAATCAAAACTTATAAAACTGTAAAAACTCGTGTCCAGGATCCATCTTGGATTTGATTTGGGTGTAGCCCCGGCCAGGCTTTTGGGCACTGCCCAAGGTGTAACCTTTCAATAAATGCCTATTTTATTCCTTTTGCTCTGTCTAGTCTCTGTTCCAGGTCAGCCTTTCCAGGCATCACCACTTTATAAAACCTCACTTTTTTCCATTGCTATTTTCCAGCTATGCTTTTCCCAGCTGCTCAACGATTCAAGAGGTCCTCAGCTGCCTTCCTCAACCCAGTGTTACAAAACTCGCTGGAAGATGTGGTCCTGCTTTATGAGGTTCAGTATATGGTACCTTAAGCCTTAACCAAGACTGAGGGTCCTGCCCATACTGGGTTATCCATTATCTGGTTTTGTGTAACTTTTATTCATCCTAGCAGTAAACCTGTGTCTGTGTGATAGTTCACCAGAAGGGTAGGAACACATAGAAACTTTCTGGTCTTTTTCCCCACCTCCAGACAGTGCAATTGTCTCCATTTGACAAAAATTAAAGACCCAAGGACATGTTGTAAATTCACATGTACTCTGTCTAGAGTCTCTTGGAGAAAATAAATAGCTTTCTGTGTTCTGATTTTGTACCAGTTTCTTTTAGCTGAGCTTGATATTGACAAAGGTCAGAGGATCTCCATCAAAGATGAGGAGCTGGCTTCCCTGAGGAAGGCTGCTGAGTTCAACACCATCTGCAACGAGATTATCCCCAAGAGCATCACAGAGATCCGCAGGCTGAGCAGCAGGCTGTCTTCCTACCCGAGGGTCCTCAAGAAGGAAGACTTTGAAAGAACAGTGCTGACCATGGTCTACACGGCCTACAGAGCTGCTCAATCCCAGGGCCACCAGAAACACACGTGGGCTGAATCCTTTGTCAGTCTCTACAAAGCCCTGAAGAACGACTTGATGCTACCATACAACAAACAGCCCTCATAGTGGGAGAGGAGCAGCAGCTCAGCCACCAGCTCTGGTTGGTGAAGGACACCATGTAGCACACTCACCACTTTATTCTGTAGAGTTTTAGAGCCTGCTTCATGAAAGATTGTTCATTTTCTGGCTCCCTCTAGTGGAATCTGCTTTTTAGTTCCATGCTAAACGGTGAAAAACATCTTCAGTCCTGAGAATTTGATTTTTTGCTGGCTTGGAGGCTCATTCTGTGACAGGAAAAGAAGGGATTTTGGTGTACACCCAAGCAGACCCTTGTTTCAGGCAAACTCTTGATTCATCCTTTGAGTTTCCTATAAGCAGTACATAAATATACTGTGCTTATGCTCACATGCTGATGTGTAAGTGCTGGAGAGTGCTGCTTTCCTAGCTGGGGAAACAAGCTGATGTTTTGGCTGGCCAGTAAGAGACTATTACACAGAGATGAAGGCCTGCTGTAAAAGGAAGAGGTTTCATAACTCTCAGCCTTCAGAAATTATGCCATATATTATTCATTCCAAATGTTCTTATAAATAAGCACTCTCTGATTCACTTCATTTGGCTGAGCCAGTGTTTAATTGCAATAAAATTTGCAGAAGACAAAGGGCATTGTGAAGACCAGCAGCAAACAATGTCTGGGAACGTATTCCCCACTTCCCGGAGCTGTCCTCCCAAACAATTCTTCAAATAATTCTTTCATTATTTGTACATGACTTGCTTCTACTGCTTGTTTTTTTGAAAGGAACATATATTTGTTCTCAGTGGAATCTAAGGCAAGACAAAGGGCCTATTTAGGTTAATAATGTCACATTTTTCCTGGTTCTATCACTTGAATGTTGATCATCTAAACTCATGCTTCAGAATCCCGGTGAGGCAAGGAAGGAAGGTGCATTAAAACATACCTGGTGCTGAATTTGGCACTGTGACTCTTTTTTTAACAGTAAATTGTATATTCATTTGTGTCTATGTGTGTGTGTGTGTGTGTGTGTGTGTGTGTGTGTCTGTTCATGCATGTGTGTGCACATAAGTGCTGAGTACGTAGAAGAATCCCAAATTGTTCACTCAGTGAACAATTGCATGTGATCACTTAGCAGAAAAGGCTATTTACCAATTCAGTGGGGGGAATTATGGATTTGGGAGCTGTAAAGGAAAAACTGTAGAAATACTGCAACCAATTATAATAAACTCCGAAAAAATTAATGAACAAAATATAGACATAAAATGGAGATCTATTTTGTCAGAAGGATGACTAGCTATCAAAATTCCAAGCTCTTCTAAATCAAACCCCTAATGTTTGTGCACGATAGATACAAATTCTGTTTTTCTATTGATATTAGAGGTGCTTCTACTTCCAGACCATGGGAAGGTAGCTGAACATTTATTTCATCCTTTCATATGATCATTCTCTATTTTTCTATTGGATAATGTATTAAGGATGCAGGCCCAAATCACAAATCCCCTAAACTAAAACTGACCTAAGGATTCCAGCCCAAGTTCTGAATCATATTTAACTGCTTTTGCATCACTTCATCAAAAGGAATTCTTCAGTATCCCTTAGCAGGGGTACTTCAAGGACTGGAGCTGAAAAAATCCACACAGAAGCACAGCAAGGAGCACAGTGCAAGCAGTCAGAGCACACTGGGTTTGGCAAACACCTGCGGAAATGTGGAAGCACGGCAGCCTTAGGGGCAGTCTGGCCATGGCATTAGCAGCTGGACAAAGGGCTTATGAAAGACAAAGTCATTCTTGTTTCCCCTAGGAGTTTCTGGATTTGTCTGTACAAGTGTGCACGTTCATTTAGACACACATATGTGTAGGAGTACTTTTATACCTGAAGAATTTTGTTTGCCATCTTCAAAGCCTGTCTGGCAGATGGCAAAGGAAGCTGAAAACCTCAGGCACAAAGCTGTAGGCCACAAATACCTGGTTCCTCTCCTTGCACACACAGGGCAGCCTTGCACTCCCTGCCTATATTCCCTGTGAGCCCTCAACTTTAACACTGATGATCTGCTTGTGATTTCTTCCCCCACCATGCTTTATAAACACATGAAGGGGAAATTCCACACAGTGCAATACTGCCTTTCCAACTCTGCTTCTTGGCTCCCTGAAACACCACTTGCAGGAAGATCCTGGAACCAGGGCAATTCATAAATGCCTCACAGCCAGCTACTCCAAGACTGCAAAAATAGCAAGAAAGAGAACTAGAGCAAATATTAATTCCTAGCAGTCACCTATCAGAGATATACCTCCCAGCCATGCTCCTCACCCACAACAGGACTGCCCAGCAGAGTTTACTAATGATAAAATATCCCATAAAAAAGAATGACAGATAATTTTTAATATCTTATAATTCCCTATGGTAAAGATACTAACAAATGGGTAACTGAAACATTTATCTCCTCAACAGAAAATAAAGGTTTTATGAGTTTGTTTCCCTACTCTTTTTACTATGTGTAATGTAAGAAAAAGATTTATTCCTTGGGAAAGTGCTTGGACTGCCCAGGTTAATTTAACAGAGATTCTCAATGTAATAATAAAAACATTCTACATAAAAGTCCTTGCCTTTGCATTGTATTGATTTCAACAGCAGATTTACATTTTGCAACTTCAGCTTGAGTAATTGCTTATCTCAGACTGCGAAACTCTTCATGGGAGCAACGGTACAGGAGAGAAGAGGGAATAGCCCTTCCCTCTGTAGGAGAATAGAGGGAATAGAAATGAGAGCGCCTCCTTTTTCCAGAGTTCCTGTGGAAAGGAGCACTCTGCCTTCAGGGAAGTTCTTTGGGCTTAGGGCATTTCCCTCCCTCAGTATTTGCTTATGACGCAGGTGTAGGTTGCCTTCTCCCTATCTCAGTTTTCGTCTCAGTTTTCATCTTATCACTTTGGACTGAATTTTCTTTATGGGCAGATCTTATCTCACAGGTTAGAAAACCATTGCTCCCAAACGGCACATTTTATCCATCCTTTGACCTTGTGGATCACAAAAATATGAAATAAGATCTTGTTTTTTCATTTAAAATAAGACAATTTTTCATTTTATTAACATTTTAGACCTCTTTGTTTATTTACTTAGTTTCTCTGAAACAATTGAAAAAAGATATTCTGAGCTGTATTTACCAACCCAAAATCTTCACATTAACTATAAATTTTCTTCCAGAACTGGTTGTTAAATTTACCTGAAAGGTCTCAAGATTCTGTTGCTTGATGGATGTTTCAAGTTATAGAAGTCGAGATACAGTTATTAATTTCAGGAATAATTCACCCTGCGCATCAAACTCCTCTGCAAGTCTGCATTTGTCAGGTTTCCAGAACTCAGGGTCACAGAGGCATCTCAGTCCAGTCTGGAGAGCTCAGTTTGTCACAGACTAGCAAGTCTTGGGGGCATGGAAAATCCTAGATATGTTCTTCTGTCTTCGTTTTGATTTGCCAATTTAAATAAACTTATTTTTCTGCTGTGAGATGGAACTAGGAGCAAAAAAGCAAGGCAGGCCTAAAACTTAAGAGAGTATAAAAAAAGAAATTTATTAACTACACAAACAAAGAGGGGGAAAAAACAATTTATTTTCCCCCCGGACTGTGTGGGGGCTAGGCAGGCCTAGCCCGTCTGACAACAACAAAAACCAAGCCCCCCATCCCAAAGCCGCAAGCTTGTAAAAAAAAAAGGCGCAAAAGTCTTATCAACAAACCTCTCCTCCTCCCGACCATCAAGTCCCCTAATTACAAACAAAGCCCACGTGGCCTCCCGAGCCTCCCTCCCACATAGAGTTACCTACACTGCCGCCAGAAAAACAAAAATACTCAGTTCTAGATTACATCCTTCAAAATGTATATTCACAAAGCAAACTAACTTTCTTTCATTAATTGTTAAAGTTATCCCAACCCCCACAAAAAAAACTCCCTTAAAAAAACCTTCTAAGTTTCTTCTTCCCAATTCAACCCATCACATCTTCCCATGGGATACAGAGCAAATATACATTTGTCTGTCTAGTGATCTGCATGTAACCAGCCAGTGGGTTCAGTCCTAAATCTCCAGAGCTTCCTGCCCCACAAAAAGCATTAATAACAGAAGAGTTGGAGAAATGGGATTTTTTTCCCCTAGAACACAAGAGTAGAAAGTCTAAAATTCTCAGTTTGATTTTGAACTCCATGGTTATTCAGGGCACATGAGTCAGTACAGAGATCAGCCCATGCCTTATGAATTAGTGACATTCAAGGGTTGTGATGGAAGAAACATGAAGACAAAAGATACTGTTCACAAAACAATGATTATTTATTTATCATCAGTACAGGGACCTTAAAACAATAACAAGCTGTTCAGCCACCTAAAAAAGGTCTTTTTTTTTGTTGGAATGTCAGAAGGCTGTTGATTTTCTCAATGTTCTGACTGGGCTTGGGACGATGGGTGGAGCAACTTCTCCCTTCTGTAGTCCTCATTGGTGGATTAGAGTTGCCTGTAGCTTTTTAACAAATTTTTGTTGTGAGATCAAGTATAATCCATATTGGAATTACTGCCCTGTGAATTCCAAGCTCAGGGCAAAAAGTAGGGTAAAGGTATACACAAAATAGAAGCAAAGAAGTAAAATCCGAAGGAGCTGCAAATGGAGGGGGGGGTTGATCTTTTCTTTAAAGAAGAAGTACCTGAAAATTTACTTCTATGCATTGAAAAATAAATTGTTTGGTTTAGTAATTTTCCAGCAGAAAAGAAACTGTATTTGACTTTGAGACTATCAAACAGGAGGAAAAGCAGCAGCTCAAAACATATCTTGCCTGGTTTATGAAAACAGAAAAAACACCACTAGATGATGGAAGAAAAAACTCTATAAAACATGGGAATAAGGATACAACACATCTACAGCTGTGAGTCTGAATTAAAAAGAAAATTTTTCAAAAGATCAATATGCTCCAACTTGCAAACCTCTGTGTGTTATGCTGTGATAAAAAATCAGATGTGCTAATGAGCCCTACATAAACTGAATGTCTTTTTAATCGAAAAAGCTCTTCAAAACAACATATTGAAGAATAAATAAACTAAGAAAGGTATTTTAGATGACGGTGGGGATAGGAGATGAGATTGTGAGAGATCTCTGGGGGGAATCCAGGCACAGGTGAATGAAAACGTGGCATGAAACTGGAATATCTGAGGAACCAGAGAAGAATCTGAAGGAGAAGAAAGCCACCAGAAGGAGTATGGCAGTGATGAAGGAGATTCTCCGATGCAGAAATCTCTTGCTCGTTGTTCTCATTCCACTTCTGCTGCTTCCTCTGCCACTCATATATCCCAGCAGTGTAAGTATATTTTCATTTTCTTTTTAATAAATCTTCCGAGTGTAGCAGGTAGTCCTGCTGA